TTTGCCTCCAAAACTGCCCAATTTCTGTGACAAGCTAACAGAACAAAAATCTGCTTTTCTACTTGTGGAGAGGCAGTTCAGCACTCTGTAGCACTTTGATGCCTTTCTGTTCATATCCAGGAAGAGAAAGGCCTTTTCAAACACCTGCTTTTGAATAGTAGCGATTTTCTAACCTGTGCTTTACCCTAAGCTAATGAAGACGTCACAAACTACAGCTAACGTATCAAAGCCAGCAATGAGCTCAGAGCATCTTTCTACTCCTTGAAAGTACATACTGCTAGACCTGTCATGAATGAAATATAGTGAAACCATGGATTCAAAAATACTGCAAAATGTAACAAATGTATTATTAGTCCAACTCTTGGTAGTAGTTAATAATATTCATCAATAACCACAAACAAAGTGATACAGTTCTTACAAACACTGCTGGGTATGACCAAGCAGGAAATAATTTGCTAGACAGTGCCACATGAAACTGAAATACATGCTTATTTCCAAAAACACTACTAGAATTGTGGTGTGAACAGCCAATTCTGCCAAATCTGTGCCAGGTTTTTTAATAACTGAAGTAAACAACAAAAAAAGTCAAGGTCCAGAAGTCTGTTTTAAACTAGATGCCATTCTGTATCACCTTTACTGAACCACACAGGATTACCACGAGAAACAAAACAGGAGCACTGCAATCATGTTGAGGTGCAGTAAATAAGAAGCATTTACACGAACTGCATTTTTCAGTTTGTGTACAGTATGTAAAAGTAAGAACACTGTACAAAATCACTAATCCATCTCCTCCTGGAGCCAGGAAAGCTCCTCTCTGCAGGTTCCCAGAGTCTCTGGTGAACAGATTAAGCTGATCCTTGCAGTAACCCACCTTTCGGGACTACAGCACTTCAGTATGCAACTTACTAAAAGCAGTACTAGTTCATCTGTCTACCATATGATCCTAATTCAGAAGGCATTTTGAGAACCATGGGAAAACACATGGCATACCTCTGATGTGCTATAAATCTACTCTCATTCCCAGTGCTATTCCCCATCAACTACAGTCAATGATTCTACTTTTTCCTTATGGCTGAATACCAAAATTTCTTGTTCTTCCTTGGTTTAATGGTAAGTCTTTGCATACATCCATGCAAAGCAGCAAAGGCTGTTAAATGGAGCTCACTACCAGAGGGTAACTTCCACCCCCAGGTCCTCCCCATCCTGGGCACCCATATGCTTAACCAACAATCACCTCAAAAACATGTAGACAGCTGAAAGGCTCACAGGTTCACTGGCTGGGCACAACCATGTCTTTGGTTTGTTCCCCGATCACATGAAGTAAGACTCCTCCAACATCTGTGGATACTATCTTGATTAAAAAGGTGTCCAGCTAAAACATGCCTGCAAATACAATCTTTAGCATGGGGCATGGCTTTTCCAGTTGTAACTTTTGGGCTAAGCCCAGCAAGCCCAGGATTCATAGCAGTACCTCTTATTAACTGAGATGTGGCCAATATCTCTGCCATCATCATCAGTTCCTCCAAATCAGCAATTCAGTGTGTCTCTCCCTTTCATAGTTCAAATTTCATCCAATATGAAGGCCAGTTTTGAAAAAAGTCTTGCACCTAGATTTTCAATTCTTTCCACTTGCCAAATCCCACTATCAAATGCTATGCATGGAAAAAAACTGTTGCAAAAATAACTAAAGCTTCAGCACAAAATATCTATTTCTAATATCTGTATTACTGACAGTCAAGCAGAATTCTATTTTAAAATTAACAGTGCTGTTTAGATATGTGGTCTTTCACAGTTGTTTCCTCCTGCTTCAGAAGAATGAGAACTACCTTTCAGGAAATTTACATCTGGGCTTTCTCTGCATTAGAACCAATTGTTACCGCATCTGCACTGTAGCAAATTCCCATACAAAACAACACCCCTGTAAACACAGTGCCGTGCAGAGATCCCAGGGTACATCATGAAGTAGTTATTTCAGGTACCTGCAGCAAGTCTGTCATACAGGCATGGCAGCCACCAGAGACCTGCTCTTTGCTTCTCAGGACTGGGCTGCAGGGTCATGTGTAGCCACTGCCATTGGTGTTCCACTCATGTACCAGGGGCTTCTAGCATCCAGACCCACTCCTTCCTAAGTAGGGAAGTAACTAAAAGCAACGTCAAATGCAAAGTGGGTGTAAGACCAAAACCCAGCACTGAACGAACAACATGTAATTCTTTGTGCAGTTCTTGGCAGGGTACTGCCAGTAAACGTTGAGGTTCATAAAGAAGTAAGCAAGACCAGAGAGGAATAACATACAACTTTAAGGTGCTGATCATTCATTTCTGGGTACCTTTATGAAAGAAATAACATTCAATCCTATTAAAAGGTGCTCGTTGTACCCTTATTAAGTACAGAGTATTCGAGTTTCAGACTTAGATCATCTGTCGGCCTTTGGCAAGATGTCTTCAGTCTCTTTGGACATTGCAACTCAACTCTGTTGAGCAGTTCTGCTCAGGGGCCTGATTGGATGCCACTCTAACACACACAGCAGTTTGAAGTGCTCAGCACGACAGGATCAACCATGAAAGGCCCAAGTAAGATCTGTGTTAGCACTAATATGGCTTCCAAAACTGACTTACATGGCAACAGTTAGGACTCAAACATCAGTTACCAGAAACAAAACAAAACTGAGCTTACCAGCTTAGTAATATATAGAATCAGGGGCCATTTTCAGAACTGAATTTCATGGTACTTGCTAGCCCAATTTTCAGCCAAGTGTAGGTCAATTATCGAGTCACTAATTTTCTCCAAAACTCGTATTGTTATGCATACTTTTTTAAATAAATACAGAAGAGTTTGTTTCTATCTAATGATTTTAATGAACTCCAAGTCATGATGTGCTCCTTCTTCCATTTTCACTTATACAAAATAAGTGGAAATGATTGTCAGCAATGTTGGTCACGTCAATGTTATCAGATAACAGGACTTGCAAGTGCCCGTTTAGCTTCTTGCAGGCCCATCAATACAGATTTAAAGTTAACATATAATACTAACTGGCTAGCTTTTAACCAATGTTCCATTCTACTTTGATTTGGAAGAAAAACAATTCGGCAAACACTCTGTAGAATGCTATTTTCATCTTTAATGAAAATTCTCAACTTCTTCAGATGGTTTCCAAACCCATTCTGCTGTAGACATGAAGAAAAAAAAAGTTTGCTAAACTGGATTCAGTCAGCCTGTTAAGGTAAACCTTCTGAATATATTACTTGGTAATATTTCAACAAGGTTTTTAGAAAAGATGTTTCTGTTCCTTCACCTCCCATCAAAGCTTACGAGTGGCAGAGAACTAATCTGTAACATAGCTCGGGTGTTTGCTGATTTTTTTTACAATAAGTCAACTATTTATCAGTTTATTTATGAACTTGTTTGACATAAGCAACATAATCTGATAATACGCCTCCCCCCATCACTAACTGAATTTAAACATTGCCACTTTCTAAACAAAGTTGGCTGACACTTGCCGTAAATGACAATGCAGACCTATGGTGAAGTCCAGTCCTTGGAGGTGCTAACTGGGAATTTGCCATTGATCTTAAAAGGGCCAACATTTACTCAAGATTTATAAAGTCAGCATACTTTACTACATGCTGGTAGGTACTGAAACACAATGGTTTGGTTCATTCAGAATAATTTCATGATAGCTACAGTCAGCAAAAGAGCAATAACTTTAGCAAAGGCATATGAAGAAATTAAAAGGAAATATTAGCTCTCCTGTATTTATTTCACCCACTTGACAATTATGCTTAGGGTCCTGAATAGTGAAATAAATTCCCTCTTCAGCTCGACACCACCTGCAGTTTGAGCTGCTGATAGCAGAGAAATGTTACCCTGACCAGCCGTGGTATGCTCAGCCCTAGAGCAATGTAGAGACTTTCCCACTGACCAAACGCAAAGATTCCCCACCTGAATACACCATCCCACAAACACTGGAGAGGAAAAGAAGCAGAAGAAAGATCTTTATTTCATTCACTGCCTACAAAAAGACACAGGCGTTTTAATGCAATGGTTTGATTAATTCATTCCAAGCTCCCTTTAGCCAGACTACTTAACTCTTATTACAAGAAGAGTGCAGTCCTGGGAATAATATTACATGCTGCATTACTCTTAGGAAGATGAAGTGATAGCCAGTGTATATAAAAGTGTAGCTGGAAGGCATCTGTTAGATATTGACAATATTGACTTCAAGAGGTCTTAAGCATCTTTCTATTTACTATTTTTCTGAATGATTTTTTCATTCATCATTTTGGTTACAACTGACATTCTGAAACTAAAATAAACCAGAAGGATTTTTTTCCTTTTCTTTACAAATTGTCGACTTCGTTAATATTGTCAAAAAGCCTACAAGAATGAAATTAATACAGCAATCTAAAGACAAAATTGGCAGGTGTTTATATTGTACTTGGACACATCCACTAAACAGTCTCATACATCAATCTACCGTCATCACTGGCAATACCTACTAATATTGTTTTATGTTTGCAGTGTGAAATGAGAAGTATAGATATCGCTCCAGGAGACGGAAAAACAACACGGGAATCTGACACGAATGAGAAGCACGGAGTAGTGACTCAGGTGTCGTTTAAATGCCCCGTACTTCCAGGATGGAGAGCGGCCACTGCCTCTGATCTAAACCGTACCGGCAGCGACCCGCTCGGCAGCGCACCAGCCGCGGTGGGATCGCAGGGATTCACCGCTACCCGGAGCCCCCTCGGCTCCCGCGGAGCCCGCGGAGGCTGCGCTCCCTCCCGCGCCCCCACCCCTTCCCCCGGTGCCACCGCACAAGCCGCTGCTGCGAGTCAGAGCTCCTACACCCTCTCCCCGGGCTCCCCCCCCCCGAATTTTTGGCTGCAGTGACAGCCAGGGTCTGCCCCCCTCTCCCCGCCGGTGATCGGACCCCCGCGGTCGGTTTCCTCCCCGGGGCAGCTGGTTGGGAAGGACAAGAGGCGAAGTTGCCGGGACTTACGGTGGCAGCGCTCCCGGCGCTGGGGCGGCACCTCTCCCGGCCTCCCGTCACCTCGGGCCACCTCCGCGGTGGTTCGGCGCCCGCAGCGGCGCAGCCCGGACGGCCGGTCACTCTTCGGGGGAGCGCACGGCTCCGTCCGCTCCGCAACACCCGTCCGGTGGGTGTCCGCGTCCCGGAGGGGGCGGGGTGTCCGAGCGCTTCAACCGGCACACGGACAGGCACTGGCCAGGGCCGAGCCCCTCCGGCGGGGCTGCGCCTCGGGAAGCATCTGCCTCCTTTCATCCGCGACTCGCACACCTCCCTCTCCCCCCAGCAGCCGGCGGGGCTTCGCGCCGACGTCGGTGCGGGGCGGACGGAGAGCGCCCGGCGACAGCGGCAGCGCCTCCCCCGCCTCCGCCTCCCCGCTGCTCCCGGCCGCTTGCTACCGGCGGGGCGGCCGCGCAGGAGCCGGCGCTGCTCCGGCGGGCGGGGCGCGAGTGGTGAAGCCGCGAGGGGGGTGCTGCTCCCGCCGCTCCGAGGAGAGAGAGGCCACCCGGGCCGGCTCCGCGTCCCCCGCCTCGGCCCCGCCGGAGAGCCCGTGGGCGGCGGCTGACAGCCCTGCCCCGGGTGTCCCCCGGTGAGGGCCGGTGGTCCCGGGCCCTGCTCCGCTTTACCCTCTTCCTCCCGTCACCTTCCTCCTCCTAGGCTCGGGGGAGTTTTCTGACCCGAGGCTGCGTTGCGGTCCCATGGTGGGCACCTTTTCGAAGAAGAAAGCCGGAGGAGTGGAGGGCGCGGAGCTGAGACCCTCGACCTCGGGGAGCCCTGCCCGCCCCGGGGATACAGCCTGCATCCTCCCGTCTGCCCCGTCTCCTCTGGTGCGCTCTCAGCTTGCGTGAACCATTTACCTACCGTCCACTGAGCCGGACAAGGGATGGCCGCAGCATTTACCGGACGGCAAAGTCATCTAAATTCTCGTTTCTGCTCCAAAAGCGTTTAAAACAAAAGGAGAGGCCGAGGAAGACCCTGTTCCGAGCACCTGTCTCAGAAGAACAGCCCCCTGCTATACCTGCTACACGGGCATCCAGAGGCAACTGAGCCAACACCCCCACGCTGCAGGAGCGCGTCGAGTGATTCTGTGTGAAGTGCTGCAGGGGAGGACTTCTCTGCTGTGAGTGCTCCAAGCTGCCCAATATTTAAATACCCGGAGAGCCACAGTAAGGTTGGAAGAGCGAGCGAACGCACGGTGATTCACCTCCGCGCTCCTGCCAAACGAGGCAGCGCGGACAGCAGGTAGGAGGGTGTCTTCCCAGCAGATGGAGTCAGGAGGCAAACAAAACAAACTTGCTCACAAGGTACCACCACCAGGCTAAGAATAGCTTGCTTCTTTTGTCTTCCTGCACGAAGGACGTCGCTGCCATCAAATAAAAGGAAGTTTGATACTGGCTTTTAAGTTGTTTGGCTTGCTTCTGAATGAAGTTAGCTCTTATTGAAGTGGTTCTCAAGTGTTTCTCTTCTACCTGCTGCTTTCTTTTATAGACTACAGTCAAATTTTACAGCTTCCCCTTCTCATAGGAACCTGCATTCAAACACAGCGGGCTGCATTTCTTCCTGCTTCTACAGATCTCGGGCTATGCTGAGGAGGGAGGGAGAGGGGGGAGAGGAGCAAGGGAGCTTAGTGCTGAGAAAGAAGCGTTGGGCTGGGCATGTAACCAAGAAGAAGGAACCTCTTTGCCACTTTTTCCAGCAGCTTTCTGAAAGAGTGCCTCTAGAGAGCACCATCGAAGAAATTTGTCCTCCTTAAGATATATTGGGGGCAGGGGGAGGGGGAAACTTAAAGATGAGAAACTCATCTTTATGATGAGTACTGATACAAATCATCATCTCCTTAAGATTTAAACTTTCACTACAGATTTCACCCTTTAATCTTGTGAGGACAGCAAGGAGGATCAGTGGGAGCTGCTTTTATGAGCTCTCATAATGCCACAATTGCTTCACTGTTCACAGCTTTCTCTGGCAGGAAGGTTTAGAGGTTTTCATTAGCTGCACAGAGCAGTACCCCTACGGACCAGCTGCAGACGTGTTCCTGTCATACTCCAGCTGCCCTTAGGTGGGCTCAAATGAGTCGTGGTTCTAAGTGCTTGAGATGTTTGTGAAAGGGGAACTGCTGAGAAGCAAAACACTAAGCTGAAGCCTAATGAGAGTAGCAAAATTGCCCTTCTTGTCACTGCAGCAGTAAGGAAAAACAAAGAGCTTTTTTCATACCTGATAGCCTGGAGTATTTTCTTTTCCAGAGGTTTGGGGAGTGGTGGAGGGTAAGTGGGTCACCTAACGAGTACAGATTGCTCTAAAAGATACAGAAAGAAGCTGAACTATGTGAAGGCAGGTGATGGGTGTTTCTTCCATAGTCCACTCATTTAGTTTTTTGTGTGTTGTCTGGCTAATACTGTTCATTCTATGATTGGAAAGCATCACATTCTCAATGACTGGTTTTATACTTATTTCAAAACAGATTTTATGTTGCTCTGTTTTCTTACTGAGTAGTGTTCAGCTGCTGAAGTGTAAATCTGCCATCCCATGATCTGGAAATAGCTTTTCTAAGGTTTGGGTGTTTTTTTTGTAAACTCTCATTTTGTTAACCATTACCTTGCACACAGAAGCAACACTTTCTGCTTTGTTCTCCTGTAAGTAATTCCATTGTGCCCCATGGGACTGCAAGCATGAGTAGTTACTATTTAGCATGTGTCTGAAATGCTGATCAGGTCCATAAATAACCACTGGAAAATTATTATTAACCATACCTTGGTGGTTTTATTTCTGTTTGTGCTCAGGAGTCATTAAAACACTCTGACTTCCGCACAAGAGAGGTGGTTGAGCTACTGTTTTATGTTGTGAGATTATAGTCATGCTTTGTATGTGAAAAGCCAGTCAAAACCTGGTTCCAAGGTTTCAGTGATAGGAAAACGTTTTCCCATGTTGTATGGAAAGTTGTGCATTTGTGTAGTTTGTCTCATTTCCACCATCTTTTTTTTTTTTCCTAAATGTATTTTGCCTACTTTTAATGTTACTACAAGTAAGGATGCCGCTTGTGAAACAGGCACTGTCCTCATTTTTTCATCAGGTGTAGAATTCGAAATAAAAATCCAAGTTCGCAGCTGGACCTATAAACTTTCCATGAATTGGGCAGAGATATTTCCACAGTCTTTCGCAGATGCCTGAATTGTGAGCTGCTTGGAAGTAAACTATTTCTGATCATAGTTTGTGTATCTTTCCTACATGGAGTGGTGCACCCCCCAGAGACTACGTGGCGTGCTGTAGCCATGTAGGCATGCTGTACCTGTCAATAAACAGATTATAAATACTGCTTTTGAGTAAGGGCTTTATTCTTCATTGGATTACAAAATGGAAGGAGTAAAAGACAACATTTTTAATGGTAATATATTACCATTTGAAAATGGTAATATATTTGGCTTAACCCTGTGCAGGGTGAAAAGAGTGGGAACTTGCCATTGGCTTTAGCACAAGTTGGATCAGCCCCCTTAAGACTTCCATAGGAATATTTAATTCTTTTGCATACAACTTTGTAATCATGACTTTGCACTCCTAGAAGCGACTTGATTGAAAACTCTGAGAATAGTTACAGTACTATCAGCAGCAGTGCAGGCTTCCTAACCCTGCCTGTCTGTTAATATGCCAGCTCTGTGAGAAGGAAATTCATGGAGTGGGTATAGCTGCTGTTCAGGCCAGGCATCCCTAACTAGGTAACTTCTAATTTTCAGAAAAAGAGGTCACTCTGGAATTAGGGGTTTGAAGAATGGGAACTAAACAGCTTTATGTAGTTATTGCCAGTTTAAGAAGTGCATTCCAAACATGATGGGCAACATCAGGACAAGTATAGAGATGCTTAAGCAGCTGGAAAGCATATGAACAATTTCAACTAGGATTCCAAGTGGAAGAAAACAATGCTGTGCCATTAGAGACACATGTAAATTAGGGAAGTTGTTACAGAAAGGTGCAAGAGTATATTGGAAGAACAGGGAAGCGTAAAACCAGAAGAGCAGAACAGACATATTCAAAATGAGGCACGTTGTGTGAGCTATTCAGGAATCTCAGGCTCTGATACACTCACTACTTAGATCCTCAATTCTAACAGGTTACAGTAGTATTAAAAAGAGGTACTGCATGCATGATGTAACACAAGATACCTTTGAAGATACATTTCACAGAATCACAGAACCACAGAATGGTTTGGGTTGAAAGGGACCTTAAAGATCGTATAGTTCCAATCCCCCTGCCATGGACAGAGGCACCTTCCAGTAGATCAGGTTTCTTCAAAGCCCCATCCAACCTGGCCTTGAACACTGCCAGAGATGGGGAATCCTGTTCCAGTGTCTCACCACCCTCACGGTAAAGAATTTATTACTAATATCTAATCTAAATCTCCCCTCTTTCAGTTTAAAACCATGACCCCTTCTCCTATCCCTACATGTCCTTGTAAAAAGTCCATTAATACTCAATACTCATCTGTGTACTTTTATACAGATAAAATTTCATATCTTTGTAAGAATAGTCCAGGGCCTATGTATCATTCAGGATTTACATATCCCCTCAAAATATGTTTTGAGTAAAACTAAAGCAATGCTATAAACTCATATTGGTTCTGTGAAAAAAGTTGACTTTTACCTCAAATCTTCATTCTGCTGTACAGAAATGTTTATTATTTCTCTAAGTCTGACCAGCATGTTATTTAAAAAAGTCACATTGCCTGGAAAATGTAACTCTAATAGGCGCATAACAGACTAAACCCCAGCTCTCGACAGTAAGTGCAGTCTTAATCATTCTCATTATCACTATTTGTTTGTCACTCAGTGCAACGTATCTAAAATGAAGTTCTGCCCTCCAAACAAGTGGTGTATAGGAATATTCTTATGTTGGATGTGAAAGTTCTCCGACAGCAACAGGAGGAGTGACTGACATAGAGTTACTTGGGTACATAAATGTTTGCAAGATGGAGGCATTCATCGTAAACTTTGGGGGGAGACAGAACCATATCTGATCAATAAAATGCCTACCAGAGTCTTAGTACTATATATACAAGCCTATACTTGAGCAATGTGAAGAGAGATCCTTTATACAGTTTACCACAATATCATACAGTACAGGAAAGGTGGGAAATGCTTCAGCTGCCTTTACAGTTAATTATCAGTATTACAAGGACACGTTAGAGAAGAAATCTAATGGATTTTTTCTTAGCTCTTAGCTAAGCTCTTTTCTTAGCTCAGGTGAGATTGGCAGAATTCATTTCAGATTGGTATCCACCTTTATTCAATAGAGAGAGAGTGCAGCTGCACTGAAGAGGGAAAGTTCAGATGGTTTTGTGCAGAGAATGTCC